AGATTTTATTTACTAATTTGACAGAGAGAGAGCACAAGTAGGCAGAGCAGCCGGCAAGGGAGAGGGAGAAGCAGGCTCTCTGTGGAGCAGGGAGCCAGATGTGGGGCTCGATCCCAGGACCCCGGGATCATGACCTGAGCCGAAGGCAGACGCTTAATGACTGAGCCACCCACGTGCCCCATTTTATATATTCTTAATTGTACAAGTCCTATCGTATTTTTTTCTTTTATCTGAAATGTTAGGATTCTTCTGTTTGTTTTTTCTGTTGACTTAAGGAAACAAAACATAATTAAGATTTCTGTGTATTTGAATTTTGGAATGTCAGCACTTCCTTCAGTGGAATTTTACCTGGGAATCCTATTGGCCTGGGCTGAGAATTTGCTCTTTAAGGCACTCCAGAGGACCTGCTAAATTTAGGACCAGATTCTTACGTGAATTTGTCATGGGGTTCCTGACTGAGTGGTTAGTTAAGTTCCAAACTCAAATTATCTTGAGATGTAAGCTTGTTATCTTCTCTGCTGACAGGTATTTTTTTCTAGCTCATCCTTTCCCTACTGGTGCAGCCTGTTCATGGCCCTGGCTCTCCCTGCGTGTGTGGTGGGTGATAGCCTTAGTTCTGACGTCTTCCCTTGCTTAGGTCTGTAGTGTTTATCCCGTCCTGCATTGACAGTGAAGCCCTAGCCTTTATTTTATCAACGTTGTCATTACTTGCCTGTTGAGTCTCATTATCCCCACCCCATGTCACCCTAGTGTGGTTATTTTTTTTTTTTTTACCTCAGAAGATTGCCACTTTGACTTTTAGTTTGATTTTTTTCTTCTTTGATTTTTGTACCTAGGGATTTGCTTTCTTCCTAGAAATCCAGCTGTCCATTTAAAATAACGTCTGTTCTCTTTTGTTCAACATATATTTGAAGTGGTAGGGTTTTTTGGTTATTCAGCCTGTCATATTGCTGCAGCCATTAACACTTTTTCATCTGTAAAATGGCATGAAAAGAGTCAACTTTGTAGGATTGTTGAGTAAATGAAGTACATTATTCTCAGCTAAGATGCCAACACTACAAAATTGCCACAACTTGTGCATTTTTTTCAGATAAATAGCAAGTTGTCCGTGATGTATATACAGTGCCTCATGGTAAATTTAAATTCTCAGTAATTGGTAGCAATGATAATACTTTTTGTTCTCCCTAAGAATAAGAGTACTACAGCAGTTACTAGCTATGATTAGAGGTGCTAATTATAAGACTGTTACAGTTTCTCTTATTAATAACATTGGGATTTCTAGAACGCACTGTCTGAACTCCAAAAGCAGTTAAAGTACACAGAGAAATGTATGGAATATTTGATTGTCTTATTTTGTGAGGTGAAAAGGTTCTGGAGTCTAAGTGATGTGTCTTTTTTCCCACAACTTTTCAAGGTGTGAAGATGACATTGTGATTTTCTCTGAACTTTCTTGGTGTCCTGGACATTCTCCGTTTCTGTACCTTTATTCAGTTTTTCATGTTTACTTTCTTGCACCATCATATTGATTAATAGACCAGAACACGGCATTATAGATGTGTATGTTCTACGTACACAAGTATATATCCTCCTTTTTTCCAGTTAAGACAAATTGCCTTTAATAAATAAGCCAAAGAGGGGCGCCTGGTGGCTCAGTCATTAAGCCTCTGCCTTCGGCTCAGGTCATGATCCCGGGGTCCTGGGATTGAGCCCTGCGTCGGGCTCCCTGCTCGGCGGGAAGCCTGCTTCTCCCTCTCCCACTCCCCCTGCTTGTGTTCCCTCTCTGGCTGTGTCTCTCTGTCAAATAAATAAAAAAAATCTTAAAAAAAAAAAAAAAAGCCAAAGAAATAAATAAGGACACTATGGTACAAATTTTAAGCACTTTTAAGTATTGCAGTTAGATTTATTTTTTTCTAGGTTTCATCAGCTCAGCAGAATTTTAGGTGGGCTATAAATAGGTAGGATGAGACCACTTACGAACATCCAGGGTAAGATTAGATTAATTTTCCAAATAGTTAACCAGAGCTAGAACAGCTTATCAAAAGCAGTCTAGTCACACAGCTGGGAATAGAAGCAGCCGGTTAGAGCTGTCCTTGATCCCCAGTCTCTGATGGGGTCTGTAGCTACTGAGATAATTCAGACGAAGCAGCATCTTGCTGGCTCTGGAAAGCTCAAGTTTTGGAATCCTCTTGCCCTTTTATTTTTTAAGTTTTTCAATACTAATCAAGAGGAATTTACAAGGAACAATCCACGCTGCTCCTTCAGAGAATGTCTAAGCACATGAGCTCTTGTATTCGAATTATATCCAGTGTCAGTTAGGGCAGGGCCTCTTCTGGGTTGGGGGTGGTTGGGATGAGGGTTGGGTGAGGTGATACAGTCAGGGCCCCGTGGGTGTCCTTGCAAAGTCTCTTGTCTCTGCTTCCAACTTGCCGTCCCCTGACTCTGATCTACTACTTTTTTATCCGGGTGATTTTGATAATGAGCTTATCATTAGGACCAGAGTCCCAAATCCATTCCCATGCAGGCTCTAAGAATCCTTGATGTCTGGTGCGTGTCCCTTTTTGTTTTTTTTCTGTCACATCTTTATGGATTTATGTTTTCCTTTTTGCATTTCATTGCTGGAACTAGTGCCCTTGACAGGTTTCTGAGTTTCCCTCTTTCCCTTTTATTCAGATGTTACTTCTGGAAAATAGGAAGTCTCAGTTTCTACTTCTTCACTTATCACTTGTTCCTGTAGTGGTTGATAGAAGTTACTGTGTCTGTCTTAAACATATATCTGATATTTTAATTTGTCAGATTTACTACCTGTCCAGAAATTGACTGTAATCTTAAATTCTGTGTTTTATTGTTCTGGTCTGATCAATATGTAGCATGGCTTTTTTTTTTTTTTTACGGCTATGAGCTTTTAAATTGTTTTAGTATACTTGAACTACTGAGAAAAGTTTTATGGATTACCTACATTGTCAGGCACTCTGTTGAATATTGATGTTAAAGATTTGAATAGGACACTGTTCCTGTCCTCAAGGAGTTCATATTACAGATAAATGTATAAACCAGTCATTTCAGTATTACACTGTGAGTGGTTTGCATGTGCACAGTAGTGATACGCATATGTGGTTGGAGAGAGCATTTTAGCCCAGTCTCTGCGGGTTCAGGGAAGGCTTAGTAGAACTGTTTCATTCTACTCTTGTAGGTACCTACCAGCACATTATTCTAATTTAAGATGCCAACACTAGAAAATTGTAATAACTTGTGCATTTTCTCAGATAAATAACATGTTGTCAATGGTAAGAATTGCACCTGGATGTATTTTTTTTTTAAAGATTTTATTTATTTATTAGAGAGAGAGAGTGAGAGAGGGAGAGCCCAAGAGGGGGTAGGGTCAGAGGGAGAAGCAGACTCCCTGCTGAGCAGGGAGCCCGATGTGGGACTCGATCCC